ATGCAAATCAAACTGTAGACGGTGTGAAAGCGCCTATTGTTTTAAATAATGGTCGGAATGTGAGCCTTCTCAATTACCGTGGGACAGCAGAGAACTCTAAACTAAAATGTTCAATCAATAAAGTAACATCTTATCGTATCTTAATAATATCTTCATATTAATAATAATAATAAATCATACAGTATGTGTCCGAAAGGGAGCAGGAGGAAGCAAACACCAAAAAATGTTTTACAAAAAATATACTGCATATTAAAGTAAAGGATTGTAAAGGTAAAAGAATGAGCAGAAAAAATAAAGAAGTGTAAACATTTACATTATTATTATGATTATTTAATATATAAAGACTATATATTATTGAATTACAAGATTAGATATACTTTATTTGATCTAAAATATTGATGTGTTCAAATGCTCTTCAAAACACAACTGAAGTACTGAAAGTCCATGAAACTTGTCTTTCTGTATTTGTGAATGAAGCGCCATCTCATGGTTAAATCCTGAAATTGAAAATCTGGCAACGCCCTCTTGGAAAATAGTGGGAGGGCTTAACATTCCCAGCCGCTGGGATCCCTTGGGTCTTTGGCAGGAAGCTGTTGGCTGGAGTCCTTTCTAGAGTGCTACATCTGTATGTGAGCTGTAACCCAGCTTCCGGTTTTGGGCAAGCTGGCTGCGCATCACTCTCATTGACCAATGGTAATGTTTAGATGGATTTAGGAACCTCCCCTCGATTCTATTGGCTCTAACGGTTCAAAAGAGGTGTCAATCACCAAAATCGACCGATGGGTGCCAGAGTTATGGCAAATACACCCAAATGACCCCAGAGGTGGGTTTATTTTTCTAAACCTCTCTAAAAAGGTTGAATGTCACTTGTTTTGCATCAATCTTGATACAGGGTACTTATTATATGTTATAGTTTGGATTCCTAAAGCTTTTTGTCTACTATCCCATCATTCAAGGGTGGTTTTCACTATAAGTAATGGGTTTTCTTTTGGACGGAAACTATAATTTAATTTGTTTTACTATGTTCAATCTGAATTTACTTTAAAATAAAAACATCTATATTGATTCTGACTTTTCTACATCCAACTCACAGGTGTATCATTGCTTTGAGAAAATAAATAATTAATTTACCCCTTTTAGAAGTGCAGATATAGTCATTTGTTCTGGGAATGTCATTTTCGAGCCTGAAACCTGAAAAACAGGTTCAGGGCTTAACAGGTTAAGCAGTGGCACTGGCAACTGAGCCTGAAGCTACTGCCACTGTAGCTAACGCTACATCACATCTACGTCAGCATGTGGCGCAGCGTTGAAGGTGAAGCAGCACAGCCAGCGGCAAGACCCCGAGACAGACTGCTGATCAGAGCCACACAGCAACAAACAAACAAACAAACAAACAAACAAACAAAAATTCTTACCTCCGCCTACTTATAGTGAAAACCACCCTTGAATGATGGGATGGTAGACTAAAAGCTTTAGGAATCCAAAGTACAACATATAATAAGTACCCTGTATCAAGATTGATACAAAACAAGTGACATTTGACCTTTTTAAGAGAGATTTAGCAAAAAGAAACCACTTCTGGGGTCATTTGGGTGGATTTTCCATATCTCTGGCCCCCCTTGTTCGATTTTGATGGTTGACACCTCTTTCTGACCGTTAGAGCCAATAGAATCGAAGGGGGAGTCCCCCACACACATTCATTGTGAAACAAAAAGGAGGGGGCTTCGCGCATGCAGGATTGCATCAGAGTGAAGCAATCTCTCGCTCTAACATCTGGAAACAAAAAAGCAGTTTTATTGCTTATGGATTATCAGAAATCATTTCAAAGAGGACACAGACACATTGGATTAACCTATGGATTAACTGCAGCATCGTTTTTTATCGTTTTAATGCCATTGAAGACCAGTTTTGACCAGACTATGACACAGGTAAACCATGTTAGCGTTTGTAGCTACCTAGCGCCACATGTTTTGATGTACGTTTTCGTTTAAAGAGTCGAAAGTTGTTGTCATGGAGTGTTGAGGTGGGCACCCATCGATTATGTGTCTCCTTACGATCATAATCGATATGTTGGATGTGCATCTAGGATAAGTAATAAGGGAGTTATGAGTGAGTTTAGGTACAGTGATAGGTTAGTATTTTTTCGCTCGTGGCTAATTCAGAGGCTGAGTGTTAGCATTGTGTTTTTTTTTGGAAAAAATAAATAAAAAAGATCAGTTAGCTGAGTTTCTTCCCGGTGCGTAAGAGGTTAAAAAATCTTTTTTTTATTTTTATTTTTATTTTTAATAAACAAGGTAAATATTATATAATTGGTATCAGTAAAATGTATAATCTACAATAAAATCTCGTTTAAAATTGTGTTACGATGTCTAAAGTTACTGATAAGTTACATGTTTCCTGCCTGGCCTTGCCCGTGTGTCATTACCCTCTCTCGTCTGGGCGCTATGCACAGCGCCCAGACGAGAGTGCAGCAAGTGCAGCAGAAGCCAACTGTTGCTATCTTTAAACTATGCCGCCGAAACATAATTTCAGCCAATCAGCGTCGTCAAATCTGATGGTCACAGGGGCGCCTACGTCGGCGCCCGGTGCAGTCTGTGAGTTGTTTGGACTCGTATCCAAGGAGACAAAACAGGAAGCTGTCATACACTCTGGAAGCTATCATTAGCAGCTATTATGAAAACTCAGTTTTTGACATAAAAATGGAATTATGGATTATCAATAATTTTTTCAAAGTGACAGACACATTGGATTAACCTATGGATTAACCTTCAACCGCGTTTTTCGTTTTTGATCAGAATAACAGCAAAAGGTGAGCATATCTCCATGTTTTGCTACCTAAAGCTACGTCGTGTGATGTCTGTATTTGCTTCCCCTGTCGCGAGTTCTGATCGCTCAGTGATGATACTTATATTTCTAGAATCTGTGGAATCTCAGCTTGTTAGCTAAACTTGTTTGTGCATATCCGATAAGTATATCGATTGATTTATACCTAGAGTGCGTTAGCATTTTTTCGCTCAGGGCTCATTTAGAGGCTTCTTGTGAGACTTGTGTTTTGTTTCGGTAAACATGGTTCATAGCATCAGTTACCTGAGTTTCTTCCCGTTAAATGAGTAGGACACATGAATAGTTTATTACATTTTAAGAAGCTCTGAGACACAGTTTCGTGAGAAAAAAACGGGGGAAAAAAGCCCCTTAACAGGTTAAATGGGAATTAAATCATTTTAAGTAATTTTGAGTGTTCCCAAAGTCCAGTGTTCTGCAGTTTGTGTGGGCCTACTGTACTGTTGCACAGTTTATGCTGTAGAAACTATGTCCAGGACAAGGTGTTTGGAAGTTTTGGAAGATTCATAGCTAACCACACTGAAGATTATGGAGGTATTGATCAGTCTTCTCATATTTTTAAGCCTCAATTTGTCCTTTCCCCCCCCTCTAACATCACCAGAAGTAATAATTTAAGGGGTCTTTTCTCAAAAAATGTTACCAGGGGAACATCCCCCTGGACCCCCTTAGTCACCATTTCCACAGCCCCACCTAAAATATTTTCCACCAGCCGCCACTGATCAATATCATGTTTGTGGTATTTTTATTATTATTTTATGGTTATAGCTGCTGCAGCCGTGCATAATCTGTGTAATATGCAGTGCTTGAATTGGGCCGGACTCACCGGGACTTCTGAGTTTTACCCATCTGGTACCGTTACTTCTCCGGCACGGTGCCGGTACGGCGGTACTCAGTACTCAGTAGATGCGTCATGAGGTGCCGCCGCCGCTTTGACCGCCTCGCCCCCGGAGCAGCAGTCTTCGTCGCCCCAAACACCGCCACCCCTCGGCGGCCCGCAAGTGACAGAGGACCTCGGCAAAACAGAGCCTGCCCAGGTATATTTAAACAAGTTCCCATTTCGCCTGTACAGTGGGGTAAGGCGCTCATTTTGCAGCTCATGGTTTAAAAAAAGAGATTGGCTGGAATTTCCTGTAAAAAAGATGCCATCTTCTGCTATGCCTGTAGACATTTCGGTTCAAATACATCTAACTCAGATGCCTTCACCACAATTGTACCAGAGTACCAAACGCTGTCTCCTGGTACTCATCTGAGTAACTCACTAAAAATGAAATACTATATGACAGTAAAACAAGGATAGAGTTTAAAAGGGGAGTGATTTGTAAAATATCCATAAAGAAAAAGTAAATCTGTTTACAGTTCTGTTTCATATGGATGTTGAGAGATGTATCCATAGATCTCTTAATTTTGCTCTCAAAGTGCACCAGATTGATGCTTTTAACTTCAATATTTAAAAAAAATCTTGAGTTAGATCCACTCCCTACTTATAAAAATAGCACTTTACCCCTGCACCACCTCTAATCTCAAATGCACCCTGAGTCATTTTGTTTAAGTACAGTGAGCCTTTCTAAAATATACAGTAAAGAGACAAACCCACCAGCATTAGGATATACTATGACTTTGAGCCAAATTCTTGTTTTTGGGCTGTATAAATAAATTGACTTGAAACAGTTGCTGATTTAGAGTACTGGCACCTTATTTATTCCAATTCAAGCACTGGTAATATGTAGCCAATAAATTCTGCATTGTTGGTAAAATAATATTTTACATCTTTGTAGTGTGTGTGTGTGTGTGTGCTTGCGCTTTTTTGCGTGCTCTATAGTGCCCGTAATAGTGTTCACTGGAGTCCATTGTTATGCCACTGTGTGTGTGTGTGTGTGTGTGTGTGTGTGTGTGTGTGTGTGTGTGTGTGTGTGTGTGTGTGTGGCCCCCCTCCCCCGTTGGTGCGTAATTAGCACATCGGACAGCACCTCAGCACCCCCACTCAAAATACCTTCCCGCGCCTCTGCACACACACACACACACACACACACACACACACACACACACACACACACACACACACACACACACACACACACACACACACACACACACACACACACACACACACACACACACACACACACACACACACACACACACACACAGATCCACTGTACCTGCTCCTCCTCCAGCCTCTCCTCTGCTAATGCTGCCACGCAAATATCTTCATCTTTTTTCTATTTTTCTTCTTCGTCGTCTTCTTCTTCTTCTTGTATGAGGTTTGTTGGTGGCTGGCAACAAACGAATAGGCGCATTACCACCACCTACTGGACTGGAGTGTGGATCAGAAGAATGGCAAGAAAAAAACGATTCAAAATAAGAACACTAAATTGTCTCTATAAATCGGGTTGCTCTTAAGAACATTTTGAACAGGCTGAGTACTTTGTCTGATGATCTCCTGCAGATTCTCCAAAGTAAAGCTTGGCTTTTCAACAGCTAACTCTTTCATCAGCTAACCCTGACGTATACATCCATGATTTAAATATTGATAATTATTTGAATCAGCCCTGGTTTTCTCCTTTATATAAATGTTGCAATGCAATATATGTTCCACATTTCCTTTAACGCCACAGTTCAAGTGGAACTGGTAATGTTTTATTTTGCACTGCTTCTTTCGTTAGTTTATCAGCATGCTTGTTTCCTTTAACTCCTCGTCTACGTCTATGCCACAACAGTAAATATATAAAAATATTTAGCATATTTTTATATATTTACTGTTGTGCCTTTTTTTTTATACTTCTTAATGTGTGAATATGTATATACTTTATGTGTCTATATATCTGTATGAGTATGTCAATATATATACAGTATATATATATATATATATAAGTAGGTGTTCAGGTGTGTATATGTATATATATTTATTCTTTGGGACAGTGAGAAACGGCATTTTGATCTCCTCGTTTTTATCACACACAGAGAAATTAACAATGAAGTTGACTTTGACATAGGTCCCCAGAGGAATCCAGCTAAATACTGTCACCTACTGACAATAGCAGGAAATACAATGGACAACTCAACAATAGTACTGTGTTGGTTTTTATGCTTGTTTTTGTTCTCCTTTTGGTCCCAAAGAATGTTACCAAATGACAGCTAATGCACAAACTCTTGAGCAAGCGGCTTTAGAATGTAAAGTAGGCTAGGCATGTTTCAGTTTACTTCTACAGTGTTTGGAAGGTTAGGCCTCCCTTTGATAATTAATAGAATACTAATTACTAATAACCCTGTACAAAATGTTATGAGTACGCTATGTAACTATTATAATTTCCTCATCAAAGTAATATAACCCCTAAAAATGTGATATATTTTCTAACAAATCTTTTTAACTGGGCAATAATGCAAACCTTAAAAGAAGACTCAAAAGTTGTTGCTGTCAATCAGAGCCACATAAATAATGTTATATTTTACTGTGGAAAATCCCTCTCCCACTCCAACCTCCCCCTACCTGCCTCTTCCTCCTGCCACCCTGGAGGGGCGGAGCCAGCAAATCCCTCCCCATGAACAGAGAAGCTGGCTGGCCTCATGCAACTCTTCAGAACCAATTGTTTGTTTGAGTAAATAATCAGTACTTTTTCCTTCCCTTTTCATAGCAGCTTGAGTAGTTTATCTCCCTATTTTCTGTACAGTTTCAATTGCATGTGATTACTTTATTTCTACATTAAGTATAATTATGTAAACACATAACTGCTTTGCTCTAATACAATTTGAAGTATGAATATTATGTTTTAATTAACTAAGATGTGTTGTGCCTTTCTACCAGATCAACCATACTATAATCAAGACAAACAAGGAATCAACAAACAACTAATAACAATTTAAAAAATGATCTGGATCTCCTGCCTGATGTGCTCATCTTCAAATCCACTGCATTGACTGTTTAATCATTGAACCAACCATCCTCGTCACCACCCTCAATATTCTTCATGACAGTGAAAGTATTTAATTTATTCATTGCTATCGGGATGTTAAGAGCATTCCATCTCCAAAAAGTGTTTCTGAAGTGAATTACCTACCCTACCTTTAATGTCTTTCATTTTTGTAAAGCACTTTGAATTGCCTTGTGTTGAAAGGTGCTATATAAATAAACTTGCCTTGCCTAAGGTCTGCTGCATGTTTTGTTGAATGTGTTATATTTGATGAAAACATTTAAATATTAAGAGTACATAAAAATAGGGGGAAAGTAGAAGGTCAATGATAGAAATATAGAATAGAAAATATCAAGAAGTTACTGTAAATGATATCTAGAACAAAACAGTTTAGTGCCGGATGTACAAAGATATTAATAGGAGCATGTGCAAAACAGACAAACTAATTAACCTTTATTAAAACATTAAATAATACTTTAGGTTAAGATAGATGTTTTGTAATACACTGTTGAGGAACCTGTGACCCAAGTTTTTCATTCATTGCATAACTACACCGTAGTTGTGTATATGATATGTCAATAAACCTTTGAAAATCTTATAATCTTGAAAGGGATGTGCAAAATAGCCATTATATACAGTTTTTAACGAACGATTAGAGAATAACGAGTAATGAATATGCTTTATAGCAGGGGAACTCAAACTTTTTTATTAAAGGTCCACTTGTGAATTTTATACAAGAGCCGCTTTCACACCAAGTACTTTGCCGTACTTAGTGCCCAGCACTTAGTACCCCCATGGAACTAAGTACAGATCGCGTTCACACCTGAGGGAAGATTACGCAAATGAAGCCGCTGACGTCACTTCTTCTTCTTCTGCTTTGGGTTTACTGGCAGGCCGCAAACAACTTCACGGCGTATACTGCCACCCGAAGTCCCGGGCCGGAAGTCCCCGGAGTAAATCGCCAGAACGCCGACACCTCCTCATCACTCCACCGCACCCATGTCTTTTTTTGTGTTGCCATAAGTTATTCTCTCTCCGTTGGTGCGCTGGGGTAATGCTAATGCTAATAATGCTAATGCCAGCAAATACAATGGCGGCTTTACAAAACTTATCAGAGTTTTACGGGGGGTGGTTTGCAATTCGCCCAGCCAATCGAAATTGGTACTTTTTTCTCCCCAGGATAGTACCACCTAGCAGGCACTAAAGATGGGGGTAAAAGTTCTCGGAACAGAGTACTCTTTTTGGTGTGAACGCAAAATTCTAGGCACTAACGGAACTAAACGGGAAAAGTAAGGGTAAAAGTACTCCGGTGTGAACGCGCCTAAGGTCACTGGTCCGGATCAATGTCAGTAAAGTCGTCGTCCCCCCCCCGAAGCGGAGCGGAGCATCGAAACTGAAATGAAGAAGCAGTTTCTTACCGCGCGCTATGCATGGGGCCCCCTTGAGGGGGTTTCCCGACATCTCGTTGCAGTAAATTAAAGGGTGTTTCATGTTGTCGTTGCTGTGGACCTTTAAGCTTTATTTTTTTATTTAGCCTTTATTTATAGAGGTGAAAATCTCATTGAGACACAGGGTCTCATTCTCAAGAGAGACCTGTTTATACCCAGAATCAGCACTTTTGGAACAGGAAGAGAAATAGAGGGATGTGAGGCATGGCTAGAATGGGTGATCTGTTTTTTTTTGTTGACCAAAACACTTCATAGACATGTTTTTTATATTTTTTTATATATCTGAGACCTATGCTATTGCCTAAAAATAGCATGATAGGTGACCTTTAAGGGTTGTATACATTTCACATCATTATTCCAAATCTGTAAAGTAACTAAAATAAATGTAGTGGAGTAAAAATACCAGGTTAACCTCTGAATTGTGTTGGAGTAGAATTACAAAGTAACAATAAATTGCATGTTTTTGTTGTGTTCAAAATTCCAGGAAAGACAGACGACTTCTAAGTTTAACTATTTATTATGAGAGAGCAAAAGATTCACTTGGCCAAGGACTCCGTCACGTCATAGAAATCACAGGCAGCCAAGCTGTAATCTGTCAGTCTATTTTCGGACAAGAGCCTCGAACCTTGTGCGTGCATACATTTTGATTATACAGGGCGTTGCCCGTACATTTATGATTGGTCAAGACTAGCTGAAGAGATACCATGGTTTAGACTTGCTTCTCTTTGGTAGGTGCGCAGACTTAGAAAAAAGTCTCTTGGCAACACGATCCTCCAATCAGCATTCGGCCGGCCTGTGGAAGTCCCTCCCTACTACGCGCCATCATATGTAATTAGTTTTTTCTGAAGCTTTCTGCAGATATAGTGGAATCTTCATAATACTGCTTCCTAGCTGTGGCCCAACTCAAGGCCGGAGCGATGTCCTGTTTATGAATAACTCTTTGTATTCTTTCACTGCCTGCACCTGACCTTGCTACTCTGTATTGCAAGCTAAATACATCAATTTATTCCAAAGTCACAGCCACATAAATGAGCACAATATGCTTATAATGTAATAATAAGAATCAGTCTTTCTAATGTTATATAAACATTTTACATGCTGCTGTAACAAAAGCATTTCCCAAATTGGGATCAATAAAGTATATCTTATCTTATCTTATCTTAAGATGATCGATGGCTACTGCCATATTTGCAAAATTTGCCTCTGAACCTTGACAAGTGCATGTTTCAAGGCTTATCAATTAACAACAGGAGGGGTCACAGACATAAGACCAGCTGTTAATAAAACTCTTCTGACCTGAGCTGTCATGTGTGTCATGTGTGTATATGAATGCTGTCCATTATGGACACAAGCTATTTTCACCCATTTATAAATGATATTTTTTAAATATGATAACACCAATAATAATAATAATAATAATAATAATAATAGCTTGCATTTATATAGCGCCTTTCAAGGGACCCAAGGTCGCTTTACAAGTAATAGGGCAAAAACAAACATAACAAAACAAAAGTCAGACAGACAAAACAACAGATCGATTAGGGGCCGAAAGCCTTGGCAAACAGATGGGACTTGAGGGCCCTTTTGAAGGCGTCGAGTGTGGGGATGTTGCGAATCTCCGCAGGGAGAGCATTCCAGAGGGTGGGGACTGCCACACTGTAGGCTCTGTCCCCGAAGGTTCGCAGTTTGGTGCGGGGGGTGGTAAGCAGGCCAGAGTCTGAGGACCGCAGGTTCCGGGGTGGGGCATGTGGGTGAAGGATGTCCGATAGGTACTGGGGGGCAAGGGCATGGAGGGACTTGTAGGTAAGGAGGAGTACTTTGTAGGATATAGAGGACTTGACCGGCAACCAGTGTAGGTGGATGAGGGTGGGA